GCCGTGCTCGGCCTGACCGGGCAGATGCGGGGAAGCGCCTGGCCCCGGATCGCCCGCCCTCAGCCCCTCAGTCCGTCCGTCTGTCCGCCCTCCGCGCGCGCGCACTGTCCCTCCCTGCACGTCCTCCCCGCCCCTCAGACGCCAAGTTCCGGGCCCTGAGCCCGGGGCGTGGATGTCCCCAAGGTCGCAGCGCGTGGTGCCTGGGCCTAGAACCAGGGCTTCGGGGCTATAGGCCTGGTGTCCCCGTGGGCCAGCTGTTGTTTCTGGCCTCATGTCCATTCATCTGTCAGTGCATTCGTTCGCTCGCTCGTTCATTCATTCGTTCAGCTATACCCGCACCTTTCCCGTGAGCCTTGCATGCACCACCCTCCCCCGACAGGCCAGTCCCGAAACATCAGAAGGCCTTTCTGACCCTGGGATCCCCAAGCAACAACCTGTAGTTTAAAACCTTCCAACTGTTTCCCCTAGGATCAGACCTGCAGTCCCCGTCCCGGCCTGTGAAGCCCACTGGGTACAAGTACCACCCTCAGACCTGGTCTTCAGGCCTGTGGCCTCAGCTCCTCCGCCCACCCCCTTGTCCCTCCTTAGCTAAGGGCCTTGCAGCTTGCTGTCCCTCCTCTGGCCCATTTGAGCTGCTTGCCGTTCTGGAAACCCTCCAGGTCTTCAGGGGCCACCTCTTCCAAAGCACTCCTTTCGAGGACCCCCTCTGGGCTTTCCTGCGCTGCCACCGTTGCTTCTCACTGGTGCCATGTGTGTCTCGTTCCTTGTGCCTGCCTTGTCTCTCCCTCATTGCTGTAGGTCTCGGCTCTTTTTGTTTGTTTGTTTGAGACAGGGTCTTGCCCTGTAGCCCAGCCTGGCCTCGGACTTGCAGCGATCCTCCTGCTTCAGCCTCCCTGGTGCTGGGACTACAGGCATGGGCCACCACCCCTGGCTGAGGCGGCAGCTCATGGCATGTTGCCTGGAGCAAGGGGAGCAGTTAAACCGAATTTGTGAATGAATGATTGAAAAACACGGGCCAGCCTCCGCAGTTTCCAGGACAGTGAGAGACAAAACCTTTCACTTGGCGTGAAAGAGAGGCCTCTGAATACCCTGAAGTCCCTTGTCCGTGCTCATTCACAGTCCTGTGTCATTCCCTTAGCGGCCACTGAAGTCAGGGCCTGGGTGTTATTACAGAATGTGCCTGGTGTCTTCCCCAGAGATCCTGACTAGCATATTTGTGGTGCCCCAGGATGTTCTGAGGCCAAGCGACTGAGATGATTTGTTCAGCATCGGGCCACAAAACCTGACGGCCCAACCCTATGCTGGTTACTGTGTGATAGCATTTCCAAAACGGCTTTTGGGGTTAAACCCTTCGAAGTGTTATCTCAGTTCAATTTCGCAATAATCCTATCATGTTGATGCCTGATTATCCTATTTCACGGATGCCAAAGATCTACTTCCTAGAGGTACTGGGAGGATTAAGTGAGAGGGTATAAATGAATCAAGACGGTATCGGTGCACAATAAATGCTCAGTAAATGAGCTGCTGTGACAAAGATGGACCAGACAGTTTTCTATAGCAGTTGTTGCACCATATACTCCCATCAGCAAAGCCTGAGAGTTCCAGCTGCTTCATGTCCTAGCTGACATGTTCATGAACAATAAAATGGATAAGTAAATTTTGTTATGTAGCTGGGCATGGTGGTACATGCCTCTTATCCCAGCACTTGGGAGGCTGAGACTAGAGGATCGCCACAGATTCCAGGCCAGCTGGGCATGGTGGTGCACGCCTGTAATCCCAGCACTCGGGAGGCTGAGGCAAGAGGATCGTTGCGAGTTCAAGACCAGCCTGGGCTACAAAGTGAGCTCAAGGCTGGCCAGAAGTATATAGTGACACCTTGTCTCAAAAAGATAAAAAAAAAAAAAGATTCCAGGCCAGCCTGGACTACATAGTTCAAGGTCAGCCTCAATTACATAGTGAGACCCTGTCTCTAACCCCCCCAACACATAAAAGGAATAATATACAATAATAAAAAAGCACAAACCACTGAAACATGAAATGAATCTCTTGGACATAACATCAAGCACAAAAAGCCAGAAATATATATTTGAAATTTCCTTTTCTTTAAAAGTAAGGAAAATTGGGTTGGCCTTTTAGTTGGGTGATAGAGTGCATACTGTGGGGTGGGGGTAAGAATAGGGCAACTGGTAATCAGAACAGTAGTTGCTTCTGGAGTGAGGATTATAACCAGGAGGAGACCAAGAGAAACTTCTGGCTACTACACAGGTTTATGCCTTGATCTGAGTGGCGGCTGCAGGGCTGTTACCATATCGTGGTGGTTCTATACATAAAACTTCCTTGAACTGTGTACTTAGGATTGGTGCACTTTACTGAATGTATCTCATACAGATGGTCCCCAACCTCTCAGTATGGTTTAACGATCAACTTTACCATGGTGCAAAAACATACTCCCACAACCGTTCTGTTCTTACACTCAGTACAGTATTTGATAAATTATGAGATATTCAACATTTTATGATCAAATATGCTTTGTGTGAGACAATTTTGCACAACTGTAGGCTAACGTAAGTGTTCCAAGCATGTTCAAGGCAGGCAAGGCTTGGTTACAATGTTTGGTAGGTTAGTTGTATTAAATGCAGTTCTGGCTTATAATATTTTAAAATGACAATTTTTTTTTTTTTTTTTTTGGTTTTTCTTCCCGTACCAGGAATCAAACTCACGACCTCACACTTGCCAGGCAGGCACTGTGCCACTGAGCTAAATCCCCAGCCCCATAACAATATGTTTATAA